CGGGCCGTCATCGAAGCGGGGGCGGTCCCGCTGCTTACTCAAATTCTGAATCATCCTGATGAGAAGGTGAAATTTTGCTGAGTTGTAGCGATTGAATTGGTTGATTTTGAATTTCTTAGTTCAAAGATTTGATTTTGTTTTGAAAAAAACTAGAATTAAGGTGAAAATTGATTAGTGACGAGCGTTGTTTGATTTAATGTTATACAATTTGGATGTTTATTTCGCAACTGATATACACACAGCACAACCTTCCATTGATTAGCATTTTTGAAACTGCAAATCCCACCTGAAGGTCACTTTAACATATACATATGAAATGTACGAATCTTCAACATGGCCACATTAATTGTTGTTATGATGCAACTCTTGCCCACAATGAAGTTCTAGTCAGTCAATGTTAGTTTGTGAAATCAATGTAGCAGCGTTTTACCCAATTTTTGGGGGGGAGTTTATAGTTTTTAACCAACCACAAGGTATCAGCGCCACATTTCGAAGAAGGTAGCTCAAGCGGTTTAGAGTTGTCCAATCCTTTTCTTTCTGAATGTGCATTTCTGTGTTCACTGCAGTGGTAAATTATTATACTTTTGTTTAACAGAGAGCTTCATTAAGCCTTGGGACAGCCTTCTATCCTTCTCGTTTTAAGATTTTGGTGAAGCCATCCCAAGGATGGTCTACCTCATCACTTTGTTGATGTGCCCAAACCAACCAATGTGATGTCAGTTCCACCTCTTAGCCTTGCTTGATATATTTCGGCCTTCTTTTACTCCAAGCACTGAGAAATGTCATATATTACAAAGTTATCTTAAACTATATTACAAATTTTTAAGATAGTTACTTTGTTTAATCCATGCTTCAATTGAGATCTTTCCTTGTATGACTCAAAAGTTTATATTTCTTGCAACCACTTGATTCGTATGCAAAGATTTTCAAATCTCTTAATTACTTATCCAAAGATAATTAAAGTTTAGAGCTCAAGATGAATGGGGCCAAGCCATGGAGTTGTCATGAAATTTGAAACTTTTCTCTTATGATCCCTTCTCAGATAAGCTACATACTACTTCTGCAAGAGCCCTTATGTGAATGGGGAGTTTGACATAAAAGAAGAACGCCAAACATGTGAAATTTATTTGTCTATCAGCGTCTTCTGATGTAGAAGCGTATTCATAAAGGTAGGAAAGTGCCTTGGACCCCAATCTTTTTTTTTTTGTTTCCATGGTAAGGGGAAAGTTGAACCCCCACACATACTATATTTGCAAGGATGCCCTCTCCACTCATCATCATATCTAACAATTTTCCATTTTGAATTTTTGACCTAGGAGCCACTGGAAAATCTTCATTAAGATGTTCTTACAGAAAAGACAACTCCATATGTAGTCTCTACACCCATGCTATGTCATGAGGACTTGCTAAATGATAGGTGTGTGGCATGATGACTGTAAGTTTCTGCATTGAAGGACAAGACAATAGTATCCTGGATATTGTTTATGACAGCGAAGCCAATACATGGGTATTTTTTTCAGTACTGTGATGACGATTATTGCCATACCAAAGAACTGTGCTTAGATGGAAACCGAAGGACTTATTATTTCTAGTCATTTATGGCTGAGGTCCTTTTAGTGCATTATCACATTGAGTTCATAAATTCAGTAGCTAGGTTTAGTTTCAACTAGCAAGGCATGATGTTGCATTAGTTTGAGTAGAATTTGAGATGGAATGCACTTCTAATTGTAGTTGAACCTATAGCTTCCGTATAGTGGTAACTGTTAATCTTTTAGATCAATTTGGTAACATAATTTTGCGTGTTGTATTCTTACCTGTTCAAGCCCTGAGGATGGTGGAGCCAATGTGGTAGCATATTATCGATAGCAAGATATTTTGTTGTTGCTCTGGACAATGTTGCGCTTCTGAGCACCAGATGTAGCGCCCAGGCGCCCAGGCATGTGCTCAAGCAACTTGTAGACTTTTTTAGCAAAGAGAGAGGAAGGATTTTTCTCAAAGATTCAAAGTCCTATCCTCACAGTTTTATTTGAGATGAACTTGGATCAAGTTTCGATTTGATCCATCATAAACTGACCTGTTCACTCTTTTATGGTTAAGCGGGCATTAAACTTGTTTTTGACAGCGTGAGTCCATGTTAGCAGCCAATATTTGCCTAGGCGCTTTAAAAAATTAAGCGGGCGGCCTAGTTACCGCTTAGGCCTAGGTGTATGCCTTGCAGCTGCCTAGGCGGACGCCCAAATTTCTTTTTAAACAAACACTGAACTGTTCTGGGATATTATATGGTTTGGTTTTGTTTTTCTATTCGGATTGTCCAATTGCTTATATTTTGTTTTTGTATAGATCTCTTGGTGTCATTGTTATTCTGATTGTTTCACAGGTTATTGATACTTTTACAGGTTATTGATGCAGGTGCACGTTCTCTTAGAATGATCTTCCAATCAAAATTAGCCCCAAAGCATAATGTGCTTCACGAAAAAAACATGAATTTTCTTCTTTCACTTTTGAACAACGAGAATGAAAATGTGAGCGAGCTTGCTGCTAGTATTATATCTCACTCTTGTGAGAAGTATTTAGAGCAAAAGGCCCTTTGTGATGTTGGTGTTTTGGAGAGACTTGTTAGTCTACTCAAAGGTTCACTTAGTCAGAGGGATTCTTGTTTAGATTCTATAGCAGCAATCATCAAAAATAACTCTGAGGTTGCTACAAAATTCGCATGCATGAACTACGGAAAGGCTCTGGCTTCTTTAACTGAACTAGTACAGGACAGATCTCCTCGTACAAGACTACTTGCCTCTGTGTGTTTGATTGCAATTGGACGCGCTTCTCCATGCCATGCCCAAGCTCTGCAAACTAAAACCAAATTGATCCTCACCCTTGTTGAACTTCTTGAAGAACCTGGTCGAGTTGGGGATGATGCTCCATTTGCGCTGTCAGATCTGGTTGCTGGCGAGGAGGAGTTACATAAGCAGGCAGTTTCTGTCATTGCTATTGAGAAACTTTGCAACTTTCTTAAGAAGGGTACAGTACAGGCCAGACGTTTTGAGGGAATATTGCTTTCATTAGCTGAATTTTGCTCAAAGTTGGAAAAATGCAGATGTCAGCTTATGTCAATGGAGGTTTGTTATTTAAGAAAACTGTATGAGTATATTTATCATTTATAAGTTCTTTTGTTTGCGCAATATATAGTTACGTCCTCTTTGTCTAGCTAACACCATGTTAGCTCAGCTGTCCAGTAATATTTTTCTGTTTCTTTTGTTAGGATAACATTTATGGCTGAGTAATTCCACTTCCAGACACAATCTACATAACTATTAACTGATTTATAATTCACCTATTCAGATGGAAACGTCTTAAAGTTCTTCTAACACGAGTTATCAATTCCATAGTATTTGCTACTTCTGTTGTATCTCTATCTGAAACTATAATGGGTTTTTATCACCTAGGAATTTTCTTACCTTACGTTTAGACTCTTAAGCCTCTCTGCTTGTCGTTATTTCTTTTTGATGTATTTCTTGCTGATTTTGACTTTCTGTACTTCTACTGCATGTGACTGATGGGAGCTATGGTCATATGGGATGTTTAGTATTGCAATCAGATGACTATGTTTGATAGTGACTATAGGTTATTTACTGAGGTTTAGCTCTATTACTGAAAAAGATAGTTTGCCTTGCAGGAAAATTCTAACTATTGGTCTTTCCCATTTCTAAAAAACCCATTTAAATACTTTACCCTTATTATCAGCCTAATGATGGAATATAAGAAAAAAAGCCAAGAATTTAGCAGGGATAGCAATGTAGCAATCAACAAAGTCCTAGGCAAAAGGAATTTATATGTTCAAACTAGCAACTGTAGATCAAACTTGGCTCTCATGTTTGTGACACTGGAAACTTTCAGATAATGAATTTCCAGGAAAAGTTCCAATTTCCAAAATTTTTCTGAACACATTGGATTTCACACTTTGCTTGCATTAGTGCTTATATGGCATGATGACCTTATCTTCTATGAAGTTTGTTTGAAGCAGATATGTGCAATATGTGAAGACAGATTATGAGCTTTTCTCCCATCTATAAAGCCTCAAAAGCTATGTATTATTACACTATAAACTTGAAAAAACTTTGATGTCTCCTTACTCTTGACGATCCTCATGGAAGGGTACAGTCCATGAAATTTTGGGTAAGAGATTTATAATTTCCCCCTTTGTCTTGCTTTCACTCGGTAATTAAACATTGATAATGTAGATACTAGTGAATTAAATGAGTTTGGCATTGATAAATATGGAGGTGACAATTATAATTAAGGTGGTGGCAGCAGTGATGATGTTGGCCGTCTAATTAGAAGGTAATTTCGTAGTTGCGATGATGATGCTAATGGAAGCTAGTTGCAGCACAAGGATGATGATAATAAATTAATGAGAAGATGCTAGTTGGAAATCATAACAAATGGTGATTAGTGGATATGATGATGATCTTGGTGATGGGTGGTGGCGTTATGGGCTCAATATAGGATCTTTGTAGGATTCAAAAAAGCGTTGAGTTCTATGATTTCCTTTTGGAAATGAGCAAGAAGCTATGGCATACTCATCCTTATGGTAGGTAAGCTGAAATCTGGCAAAAGTATAGCTTGCTTCACAGGAAATCTATAAGTTAAACCTTCCAAATATGACTTTTATCTTTCCAAAATTTGTTAACTCTTAAAATGACATTTTTTTTATCATTTATGGCAGGATGTTTTGTTATTATTGCTATGCTTTTATGAAAGTAGTACCTAGAATACTCGATAGAGTCGAAGCTTTGAGATTAATACTCAATACTTCAAGGATGAATATCTGCAGTTCGTTTATGCTCGAATATGTTTGTTCTGCTGGATAAGCTTATAACAACAAGCATCTAATACAAGACTTTCAAGTTGGACCGTCAAATAAAATTTTGACTTCCATCTATGTCTCAATGGTTAGCTTCTAATGTGAAAAGATTTTGCTTTGTCTAGTTCGAAGTTCATGCTTCCATCCTTAAGAGAATTTGATTACTGAGAATTCCTTGAACTTTAAGACCTTGTTTATGAATTAGAATCTGTTGTCTCTCATGCAAAATGTACTTCCCAGAATAAAATTTTTGCATCTATTTAAGACCTTCTATGGATTCTTGCCTCCTGCAGACCCTGCCGCTTTGATGCTTAGCATGACTTCATATTTGCTTTCAGCAGATAAATGAATTTTGCTGACCATAAGTGCATCACATAACATCGGAACTCTTCATGTGCTCTGCAAGCTGACCATTCTTTCAAGGGGTTGAATCATGGGCAATTTTTTTGCTTCAGAATCTTTTTGTTTACCCTAAAATCTGCTTTAAGTGTATGTCTGGTAAAAGTTAGACCTGGATTGCTCTTATATTTCTCAAAGTCCCTTCCTATTACACCAGCAGCTGTGGAGTTCTCGTTAGACTTGAGGGTTGTATATTTTACTGAAACAGAAACAATTCACACGCCACTGTATATAATAATACAGCTGTAACATAATGTTGTTGTTCATGATTCTTTTGTCGACATTTGTCAGTATATTGTTGCATTGATTGCACAGGTTCTTGACGTAATTACTGATGCTCTAAAGCATGATTCTGCCGGTGTACGTGTTGCTTCGTGCATTTGTTTAAGGAGCATTTCTCGTTCTGTTAAGGTTCGAGGCATAGATCACTGCTTTTTCTTATAGACGCTCAGTCCAAATTATGTAGCAATTTATTGATCAATCTAGATTCAGAATCTGAGTGCAGGCAATTTCTCCACTGAATCGGTTCTTGTTCCCTTGTTCCAGCAATTGAATGACTTTTCTACTTCTGTGCAGGTAATGTAGTACTTTTTTAACAAATGCAACTATATATAGATTTATCATTGACGGCTAACACTTTGCATGCTAAGACTAAACAGTAACAATATGTTGTGCTTTCTGCCATTCTGAAATAGGCGATTGAATTCTTAAACTTTTATGGGATTTTTTACCATTCAAAATACTTACTTTAATAGAACATCTCTAGCACTCATTCATTAGTTATTATTGCTTAAGAATTCAGCTGAACCTGACTTTTATAGGCAAGATTGGTTCAGTTTATGATGTAGTCAACTTTTAATAGCTCAGATCTCAACTGCATCATATGCCTTTGGTCAATGCTTAACTTATCATGGCCTTATGCATCATTTCATAACTTGGTGATGTCTGAAAAATTGCTGTGACATTTTTCTTTTCCTCATGCACTGAGGTTAGAACTATGATAAATCTCATGGCATTTGATTGATAATCTTGCACTGAGGTTAGAAGTAAACACTATATATGACAAATCTCTTAATTTGGTTTTCTTAATAAACATTTGATATTATAACTTGATGCTGAAGCCAATATCTTATGGGATTTTTCGATATTAGTCCCTTAAATATTGCATATCTTGAAATTAGTCCCTTAAATAATTGAAACTGCTATTAGGTCCTTCAGATCTTAAGCTTTTTGAATTTAGTCCCTCATATTATTGAAATTGCTATAAACTCCCCCATTTACTGAGTCATTTCCAAATTAGTCCCTCCAATTAATAGCATAAATAGCAATTGGAGGGACTAAATTCAAAAAACTTATGAGAATTGGGCAACGTGATAGTCGATAAAAATAGATTTTACTGGATAAAAATAGATTTTACTTCTCTTGATTGGAGGGACTAATTTGGAAATAACTTAATAATTGGGAGACCTAATTGCAATTTCAATAATTTGATGGATTAATTTCAACATAGCTTAAGATTTGGGGAACCTAATAGCAATTTGAATGATTTGAGGGGCTAATTTGAAAATATGAAAGATTTAAGGGACTAATGTTGAAAAATCCCATATTTCAACCTAATTTTGGGTGGATCCTGAGCTGAAGTTGCAAATGGAATTTTAGCAGAAACTTTAAAACCATGTCTTGATCACACCGCATGGATGTTCTAATCACACCATCCCTCTAGTATTATGTTACAGAACATGATATATTCTTTTAAGCAACCTGTGTATAGAATTTACCACAATGTTTTTTGACAAAAGGTGTTATGGTCTGGCTCATCCTAAGATGTTGTGGATTGAGGCATGAAAGTAGTTACGACCTGTACTCAATGCAACTGTCAAGCAGATCCTCATAGATTGATTCATTATCACAACAGCACTAACTCATTTGCCTGTTTCGATCCCATCTATCCTAACCTAACTCATCAGCCAGAGCTTTTACTCTCCCGCACTTTCTTATTTTACTCTTTCTTTCTTTGGCATTTGGTTGGTTCATTTCCTAGGGTATTTCAGATTTTGATTTATACTTGATGTAAATGCCTTTAAGTTCTGGACATTTTTGTATTTTGCATTTTCTCCTTCTTTCTTTACCTTCAACAGTCTTGTGCTAAGAAGCCAACCGATTCAAAGTGTATGAGTCTAGCATCAATATTTCCATGTGGAAGGATTAGAAGGATTTAACACAATATCGGTGCCTTCATTGTTGCCTAACATCAAGGAAGTTTGACTAGAATATTGCTAACTTATATATCAATTACCATACAGCTAACTTTCATGAAATTTGACTCTAGCAAGTATGTATATGATCAAATTTAGCAAACAAGAAGAGATGACATTATTCCTTAATCCTCTCTCAATACACTCGCTCATTATTTGCTTCAAAGTTTGACCAAGTAATCATTTATTTATCGTCCTCCTTAACGGCCCCTGCCACTGATTTGCGTACTGTTTGATGATGTCGCTAACTGAACCGACTTTGTTGACTTGACGCGTTCATTCCTCACTTTCTTTCTCTAGGGATTTTCTTTTCTTGCAAAGCAAATTTCCTTTGATCTCGATTTTTTATTCCAATGGGAAATGAGGGAGAAGGAGGAGTCTGCTCGAGGAGAGCGTCATGGCAGATCCGACGCGTGGAGCTGTTCTGAGTAGTCTTTGTCTTTAATTTTCTTTCTTTCTGTGCTGTAGGATACAAAGAGCAAGTTGTATTTAAAAAATTGTACTAGGAGCTGTTACGGATCAATATACCATTTTTTGGAAGATAACCTTATGTTCTTAAGAATTTTTATTGTGTGCTTAAAATGTTGTTGTTCCATTTTGTTGATGCAATTGAAAGTTTCCCTATTTATGTGTTTTTTCTTGCTGATTCTATAGTAATAGATGATGGAACATAACCACTAGTTTATTGTTGTCATCTTTATATTAAAAACCTTTTTTCAGCATACATATTATACCCTGCTTACTCATATTTATTATTTTTTTGGGTCCCTCCAGTGCCCCTCTTAGATGTATACCTTCAGTGTCCAGTATTTCCCATTTTGTTACTCCTAAACTCTTATCTCTGACCCTGCCAAAAATTGTAATCTGTTGTAGGTTGCAGCTCTTGACGCCGTTTGCAATTTATCAACTGATTTTTCCCTTCAAAAGTCCCCTTCTATTCAATTTGGGGGAGTTACACTACTCGTTGAGCTATCCAGATCAATGGATTCAGTAATAAGGTTGAAATCTTTATGTGCTCTGAGAAACCTGATGTTCCTCGGAGACAAAATAAGTAGACAACATATTCTTATGGAATTGACGGTATCAACCCTGGCCAGCCTATTGAGTGGTAATTTCTCAAATTGCACTGCTCCTACTTTCTAGTGAAACAATTGGATAAATATAGAAACTTATCTTTGTCATGTTTTTCTCTTACAGGTTCTGAACCTCTCATTCAAGAGCAAGCATTGGCATTCATCAGCAATTTTACTTCTGGATGTCTTGACAATATCGAATATGTGATCACAGAAGATAGCAATATTATAGCTGTTGCTGTGAGACAATTGCATACTGTTTCTTCACCAGAAGTATGTGTCCAGGTCTGTGAACAGTTTTCCCCTTGTAGCTTTTTTCAAATTCATTTGCTTCAGTAAACTGTGAAAGGGCAAGAAGGAATACCTTCACTTCATCCTATTGTTGGCAAATTTTACTTTGATACAGATATGTCAAAAATAAATACGATGAGCATGCATCCAGTTAATTTTTTTAGGTAGTAGTTGCTAGAATATTCTGCAAGCATGCGGTTATGAAACCTGCATTTCAGGTACAAATGTTGGTAGCATTTCATGATATGTAATGTAGCCATGGAGGACCTGATTAGAACATTAGACATGAAGCTAGAGGGTCGCAATTGCAGGCACAAATATCGTGAAGGCTTTTCCCATTATTGACACCTACAGTCGTCTTCAGTTCCTAATTTACCTCTGAAGTCCTTGCAAGTCCATGTCCCCACCTCGAATAATGTAAGTTGGGACTACACCTCACCCACCATTAGCTCTGTTTATATATCAGATATATTGAGAAGATTCTTGAATTGGTCCAGAACCATCTAAAAAGTTTACTGTGTAACCAAGTCACCCTCTGCCTCAACTTCTTCAATCTCAATTTTCTCACTAGTTCCCTCCAGAACTCTTAGCACATGCTTGAAACCTTGCATGATTCAAATGATAAGAACTCATGACCCAACATCAAATTCAGCGAGAAGGGTGAAATATGAAGAAAGCTTCATGCTCAACTTTCTCTTAGTTTGATACCCATTATCAGGGTTCATAAATTCTTATATCCACACCCTTTCATTCCTCAATGATGGGAAGAGCTTGGAATCCAATATCACGTGCATCAGTAGGATGAGATCTTTACAACTTCCAAAGTCTTTTCTTACTAGTTCTTTTTCTTCCTTCACCCATTGCCTTTTGATTTAAACACGGTAAACACCAAATTTTTATGGACCGTGTGGCTAGTGTTGAGGGTAAAATCATAGGCCAGAAGGAGAAGGAAAATGAAATGAAATTTGCATGGGAGGGACGGAGAATAAGAAATTGGTATTACCTGCCTAATTACTTATCCTTCTGGAAAAGAAACTGATCTTTCTCACATTATGGAGTTTACTTATAATTTTTTTTCCAGGGAATGTTTCTACTAAGCAACATAGCAGCCGGTAACGAGTCTCATAAGGAGGCAGTAATGAACTACCTTGTTCCCATCCAGGCAGACGGATGCACCGCTCCATTCATTATCAAATTCTTGCAGAATAAGCACAATCTGCTCAGAACAGCTGCTGTATGGTGCATAGTAAACCTCACACATCCACAGAGTACAGGTTCAGCTTCTCGGGCTGCAAGGCTCCAAGATGCTGGTGTTATTTCTCAAATTAAAATGATGGTCAATGATCCATTCTTGGATTGCAAGGTCTTATATCTTTTCAAGTTAACTTTATCTTTAGGGTTAATTATGGGTAAACCCCCTGTAAAATCGTTGTTTTGAGCTTTCTACCTCTATACTTTTATTCTTGCAGATAGCCCCCGTGAGTGAGCTTTTTTTTATTGACTCTTTCTCCCTCTTTGTAGAAAGAACAATTTTTTTCTTCTCTAAGGGTAGAAGTGTCAAATAGATTTTCGGTTGGGGGGATCTATCCTCTAAAATAAAACTAGAGGCCTAGTAAGTTCAAAGCAGTGATACTGCAGGGGGTCTATCCACAATGAACCCATACATTTTATCTATAGGTTTTATAACTATATATTATTACATGTTTTTTTTCCTCTTGTTGCAGTTTCGAGTCAGGATGGTTCTTGGGCAGTGTGCGTCTTGTGAGAGCAACTCAATATGAGTTTCAGTTTTGGCTTTTGCTGTTGTATAGTTCGAAAATGCATTTGCTTCGAACTGTATTGCATCTTATTTAGATAGATTTCTTTGTAAGTGGTTCTTTTCCCCTGGTTAAATTTCACTTGGAAATTATGCTTATATCTGACTCCAAACTTATTTGCCTTATGCAATGTGTATATCCATAACTAATTTTGCTGGTCTACGCAACTTCAGCATGGAATGTCTCGTCATTCCTCACGGCCTCATAATGCATCCTTCCTACTAACATAATGTGCGGGCCTACATGCAAACATAAAATTATTATGTTTCTTAGGCCTCAAATTAGCCATATTTTTTTGTCCAACTTTGTCAATTATAACTCATTCTGGTATGATAGATCTTTTATATTTATTATACATATACAATAACCTATATATTCATGTTAAGTTTGTTGTATACTCCCTTAACATTTTGAAAAAGAAAACGGGCGAACTTTTCACTGAAGTAGTTTATACATATGTAGAAAATGTTATTCTGATCTGGAAACATAGCCATCGAACTATCAGCAAGATGTAAACTTCATGAATATGAAAGCATATAATGTTCAAGAAGTATACAAATGCAAGTTTTGGTGTCATTTTTAATCAGTACAGCTAACTCCATGCCATCTTTTTCTGCAGGGAAATTGCGCGTCGTGATGAAAGCACACCCTTCTGAAATTACTTAAAGAGTATCGTTTGAAGTAATTTTTGTCGTGTTTTATCAGTCACTATATATCGAACCCTATGTCTCTCTGTCGATGCTCATCTTTGTTGTCCATAGGATTCTTGTTTTTGGTCATTTCTGTTGTTTTTCAGCAGAAAATATCATTTCATCATATATTTTTGAGGTTCCTTCAGCAACCGAAAACTCCATAGAAATTAACTGATTTTTTTAAACTCTCTTCAGTGGCTCTGCGCGCGCACAACCGGTAAGTTCTGAAGCGACTTCTTACAGCATTCATCCAATTTCTGACCGCAATCAGTTGCAATGTTATCCGTATGATCTCACGGGGTTCTGAATATTATTTAACCACGTTTTTAATCAATAAGGACCCTGTCGGCACAATATTTTTTTTTTGCGACTACGACAAAATGAGTCGAGCCTTATTTTACTTGTCTATAAACTAGAAACTTCGATATTTATACGCGACTGCCTCATCAGATAAGATAGTGTGGCATTTTGATATTCATATTCCTGCTCGATATTGAACCAGACACAAGCCATTCGTTTCCATACGCCTCTGAGTTTTAAACCATTCGTCGTTACCACATACAACGTATCTCCTCTCTAGATCCGCTGTTCTACTTTTTGGGCGTTAGAAATCAATTCTGTATTTACTCAACCCTGTGGCGTAGCCAGGATTTTATCTTATGTTATTTCATCATAGTTGTGTTTATTCTAAGTAGCAAATAAATAAAATAAAAATAAACATGTATAATATAGGCAATTCAGGGGGTATCAGTGACAGGGGATCAATGACGCCCTTGCCCTTGGACGCTATGCGACCCCNCTGATTATACCTAGGGGTGTTAACGGAGCGGATACGGCTCGGATATGGCACTTACCATATCCATATCCGCTTACCCATCTCGGATACGGATACGGATTACGATTTGGCATCCCTAATTATACCCCTCATTTCTGTAGATTCCCCTTGAATGCAGCTGAATGTAGAGAAGAACAAAGAGCTCGTGGTTTATTATTTACAATGAAAAAAAATTACGCCCAACCGCACCGTCGAGTACAAAAACGGATCACTAAAGAACTTCAACAAACTGTTCTCTTTTGCTTTTCACGGGGGGCAAAAAAAAAAAAAAAGAAAAAAAAGAAAAAAAAAGAAAAAAAAAGGAACTGGAAATCTTTAAAAAGAAAGCTCAACTAATCCCTGGTCTTGGCGTTCCCTTTGACACAGGACTTGACAAAGCTCTTGAGCCCCTTCCTGTGTTTATATATATATATATTATATATATAAGTTCAACTTTGTAGAATCTTAGTAACAACATTAATGAATATGTGGCTATCTTTAAGCTTTACCCTTGAAATTTTCCTGTTCATTTATTAGCTGAAGTCCAAAGTCACTCGTCTAAAACGCAATAAACAATCAATACCCATATTTATATACTGGCCATATTGGTGGCAATATATTTTATGTCTAACAAAAAACATTTCTACGTCATATAAGCTACAAAAATAATGAAAACATAACTCTATATAGCACCACGGTCCATATATACATGCGAGTTACTTGAGGCTACAGAATTGACAGGGGGGTAAACAATTGAAGCTACCTTTAAAAGTCTGCTCTCTAGTTGATCCACCCTCTCAATAAGACTCCCCTTCATCTGCGTCTCCACCACCGCATCATCAATCGGCCGGCACCGCTTCTCAATGCTCTTCGGCGTCGAGTTCACCGACGAATTCCCCCCGTCGCTCATCGTGGTCGTCGCCGTCCCGCTCGACGTCGTGGAGGCACGCGACAAGTTCCTCACGTCCATCCTACCCTTGATCTCCTCCAAGTAGCTCATCATAAGATCAAGCCTCTCGACTCGTGACAGTATCGGCAGAGGCTCGGCACTTGTTGCTACGGATGTTGCCATGGTCATGACCACGTACAGATTCTAGCTGGATACCGAGATTAAGACGGATGATGGTTGTCGTCGATGTATTTATGGACGTGGACGGGGGTGGGTGTGAGTGGCACGTGTCGCGGGTGTCGTTGAGGTGAGGGGGTTGGGCTGGTGACACGTGTGGATGTGACATGAGTTGGGAGAGGTTGATTGTTTATCCTCTACTAGTTGGGAGTTATACGTGCTGTGTTGCATGTGTACTTGTGTGTGGGATGATGGTGTTTTGTTGCGTGGAGAGTTGGATAAAATAATGTGAAGACAAAGTAGAATTTTTTATTTTTGTTTGATGAGTTTAAGCCTTAAAGATTATGTGGGCCAGTTGTGGGAGTCGTACGTGCAATGAGTGATGATGGGGATAAGGATTAGTTGAGGGTTTCTGAGAGTTTCGAAGTTTTGATGTCAGCATTAATTAGAATTTCATGGGAATTAATTGGACGAGTATGAAACATATCTATACGTGTAGAAATTGCTAATGGTTTTCGCCTTTCCAAACGATAAGGGGATAATTGGGATTGAACTTCATCAAGGGCCTATTTGCCACGTAGGAAGGACTAAGGAGCTTGTAGTAATTTCTGAAAATTATGAAGTATAAAAGTAATGGAAAAGTTATCGCCTTTAATTATTACCCTCCATTATTTAGTAAATGATTAATTACGTCACGATTACCATATCGCGTAATTACACAGGTAACCCTGTGTTTGTATATTTACACAAATAATTCTGAGGTTACTGATTTAGATTATACAGGTAACACTGACGACTAATACTAAGGGGTAGTTTGGTTTAAATCCTAAAATCATAGGAAATTGAATCTCATCAAGAATTACAAATCCCTAGTTTTTTTATACATGCCTTGAGAATTCTAATTTTTTGTTTGGTTCAACAGGATAATAGGAAAGCAGATCCTAGAATTTGTAATCTCTTGTTTGGTTTAATTAAGCCTAAAAATAGTATGTTCACCCGCGTGGTTACACCATACCCGTAGTAGCAATCTCAGTATTATCTGTGTAAATACATAGATCGCAGAGTCACCCGCGTGGTTACACCATACCACAGGGTACCAGGATGTAGTTAGTCCTTTACTAAGCCACTTTCAACCCAAACAATTATCACAACTCAAAGAATATGTTCATTTTCCATCTATTCATAACCTCCTCTAGATAATATATAATATATAAGTAGCGATTTCTCAATTGCTTGAAGAAAACCAGGATCTGTTTACATTGAAAATTTTCAACGTGCACGAACCAGACAAATAAAGTGGAACACATGGTCAATATTTAAGGAAAACACTTCCATGAAAAAAGTTTCTCTAGCTTTTAGAAATCTTACATCAACTCAAAAATGTCGAAAAACCTAACATTCTAGGGGCTTACAAAAATTAGATTTTTTAGTGGATAGGATACAAATCTTTTTCTTTTTCTTTTTCTTTTAAATCCACCAAGTCTCTCAAGCTTTCATATTTTGAAATAACTAGTATGTAAGACGTGCTTTGCATGTAATGCATATTTTTTTTTGATCAATGAAAACTTTTATTCATTTATCAAAAAATATGGAAATTATGTACATCACTATCTCAACATTGAGAGAACCAAGCTTCTAAACAAAACTTACAAAGATATCAACCAATCCTTTTGTTCAGCCGAGATGGGACTATTCAAACATATAGTGAAAATGTCAGTTTTGATAACCTTCACCAATTGATCAGTATTCCTGCACCTCTGCTGAAAACATCTATTATTCCTTTCTTCCCAAATCCTGTACACAACAGCCGCAAGAGCCAATCTCCTAACCTTTTTCTTGAATCCTTTCCCTTTCTGTCTTGTGTTATACCAATTCAACAGCAAATTCCAGTCGCATGTTTGCCAATCTATTCTAAGCCAGTTTATGATGTCAAGCCACACATCCCTGGAAAAGTAGCATTCAAAAAATAAATGGCTCCTGCTCTCAGAACCTGCACACAAGAAAAATATATTCATACTTGTATAACTAATATATTCATGTTTTTTTTTTGTAAATAGGAGGTGAACTCATTGCAGATCTGTTCGTTTCCTCCAAAGAAAAACAATATATATATAATATTCTCTCCAAATTATCACCTGTGAAATCTTGTTGACTGTGACATATCCCTGTTACTATAATTGAGAGATTGAGTCCACAATCAAAATTCTCACCTCGTCCATTTTTTTTCCATTTGATTCTTTTAGTGTTTTCTTTTATGCATTTGAGAATCCATATATAGTATAATTTATGCAACTCTTGAGATTCGAGCGGAATGTTTATGGAAGTAGATTAGTCGTGAAATAATTAGTGCATAATTAATTAAGAGAATTTGATTAGTCAGTGAGAGAGATACATGAATGCACTAATTATGGGTTCATTTCTCACTACTATTCATACTAATTGCATTATTAGTAGGTTTAGAAGGGCAAATATCATAAATTACTTTGTTAGTAGGATCTAATTATTGTGTTGTAATAGTTTTTTTAAAAAAAAATAGTAAGACACATCCAAACTAAACTAAAAACCTAGAAGCATAATAAAAAAATGTGGATAAACGATGCTCCTTATCAAACCGCAAAATATTGAGTAAAAACGATGGGTCTTTGAGCCATACCACAAAATCATCAATTTTCTTAGCTCTTCAGATCAACACATGAGCTATTAAATTCCCCATTTGACGAACTGTTTGAAAATCACATTCCTAGAGTTGTGTGCAACATCGCTGACTATATATCATCCACAAAAGCGTCTGAATATTGAGTGTAGCTCTGCTCCATTTTGGATATCTCTAATTACCACCTCCTCATCTTCTTAGAAAATTACATTTCCACATCAAGTGTTAAGAGCAACTATAATAGCTTCCCACACACAGCTTGGAATTCCTCATGCTTAGAATTACCTACTGCCCTGTAGTTTCATTTTGGCAGATAGCTAGACCTCTTGGGTTAATTTTTTTTTTACTCTTTAATTTATCTCGGGTGAAATTTTGGATGATATTTCTCCTGGGTGAAACTAGAGTATATCTGAGGGTAAGAGAACCAAAAGGAATTCACCCACGGGGCCTATCTGCCAATTTTGAGATTACAGGGGTAGTGACTTGAAAACAACTATACCACTGGGGGTCTATGTGCAATTAACCATATTGAAAATGAGCATATATGACACTAGCTTATTATTATTATTTTTCCAATCTATTTGGTTTCTAGTGTCCGAAGTTATCTTCGTGATAATATCATCGGTGAAGGATGTAGTGGGAAACCTCCAACTGAGCGCCTCTTCCTCGACAAGTATGGGAAGATCTGTCTATGCCTCGATGAAATTGTGCGGAAGGTAGAGATCGATCGAGATAATATATATATAGACCTTGTTTTTGCCTTTGAGTTGTCTTAATTTTTTAAATAAAGATTTATACTTTTCATTGTGAAGGGGATGCTCGATCGAGAACACGGACAAGGATAGAATTAGGAGGTTGATACGGTTAAAGCCTCCCACTGAAGGCTGGCTGATGCTTTCTTACGTGAGATGTTATGTGAATGCAGTTCATTTTATCCTGTTTTCGTTTTTTCGTCGAGAAATTTTGGTGTAAATTTTGCTTGAGTTACCAGCAAGCCGAGAACAAATGATATAGTTTTTTCTCCAAATTTATAAGTTCTTGCTGGCTAATTAATTCATGTACATGGCTATGAGCCTCAATGCTGAAAAATGACCGGATTGCTTCTGATGAATGTTAGTACGCTGTGAATTACCAATGCCTGTTCAGATACTTTACACTATGAAAGCCGACGAGTCACATGCATACGGAACAAATAATCAGAGCATTTCAGAAGTGCTCTTCAACATTAATGACATGAAAATTTAAGATTCACTCTCCAAAGAAATAATAATCCCAAATAGTATAAAGTGCAAGGAAAAGAGATCGATCACCAATTACAAAACATGCAAACTCCTGAATCAATCTTGAAGGAGATCACGCTTAACACAAGAGAACTCAGAGCAAATTAAGGACGAAAACTCTTGCCGCCGTCACTTACGATCATCTTGACCAATTGCCTCGAGGAGGTCATCCTGGAGACACTCATCCAACAATCTGCAGCATAAATCGACATCAATATTGTCAAAATCTACATCTTCCATGGAGAACAGCTCATCACCGACTTCACCGTTAGCAGCAGCACCAACTGGCATAGTTTCTTGAATTTCCTCCTTTGAAGGCATTAGCAGTGATGCCGCTGCAGTTTGATCGGCAACGAGGGCAAACTGTTGCTGATCAACAACCCCTTTCATGCACTCCTCCAGTGACCCTACGGCTGCAAAACAATCCGCACGGTCATCTGCAGCTCCTTCGACTTCGACCCTCTTCCTCTTAAAGCATCCTCTTCCTCGCGACGCTTCATTGCTCGACCCTTCCGTCAAACACTGCAGCGGCGGTAAAGCTTGAAGGGCAAGCACTTCGTCAACCAGCTGTAAATTCAGCGGCGCAATCACCTCCTCCCCCTCCCCCTTCTCCCCCCTCTTCTTGGAGATTTTGCAGAGCACGAGCTCGTCAAATTTGTCGTTATCATCGGCTGATTCAAAAAGGCGGTACTCGTGCATGATCCATGCAGTCCTCACCTTATTCCTCTTCTTGTCGCCAGGCTCAAACAGCTTGAAATTAAACTGAAGACTGCACCCGATTTTGACACAAACCCTCTGCAGCTGCTGGTTGTCCCCCTGTACCGCTGCTTGCTTGTAGACCGGGGCTTCTTTCGCATGACAATCCCATACGCCTCCTTCGTCGACTGTTCGACTGACGATCTTCGACTTCTTGCCAGCGCGGCGCCTCTTTGTGAAGAAAT